TGTGTGTGTGTGTGTGTGTGTGTACATGGGACATGCACATATTACTGAGTGTCCAGCAACTGCCTTCACCCTGTCCTCGCCCTTAGAAGTCCTTCATGGTCTCTGCCCTTGGGGTCTTCTGGATGCCAGCTCCTCCTAGCCTCTGGCCAGGGGTTGCGGACACTTTTATTTTGGGCAACTGGATAAGACAGTTAGGTAATACAGTAACGGTACCTATTAATCACAAGCGCCAAGTCCAAATTAAGATGTGTTGTAAGTGTAAAATATATACCAGATTTTGAAGAGTTAGTAAGATAAAAGAATGTAAATTTTATTTCATTAGTAATTTTATTCTATTGGATATATTGGGTTAAATAAAATCTACTATTAAAATCCATTTCATGTTTTTAAAAAAGATTTAAAAAAATGAGGCTACCAGAAGAACTTAAATTACGTATGTGGCTCCCACTCTATTTCTATGGGACACTGTCACAGAACATAAAGCCCAGCCAACTCATGATAAACATTCAACATGAATGACAAATAAACCTGCATTGCTTTAAGCCTCTGAGGATTTGGGGTTGTTACTGCGGCATAACTCAACTCACACTGACTAGTACATCTACTCAGTAGTCACTCCTCTTTTCTCTTTTGTGAAAAGAGCTCTGATTTTGTTGGGAGCAGGAATCTGCAGCTCTAAGTCCTTCCCTTTTCAGGAGGGCAGCCATGCGGCAAAGTTCTGGCCAATAAGACACAAGCAGAAGTCTCCTCGGGTTTCCTGTGAAAGCATTTACTTTCCATCAACAGGACGGACCTGGCTAGTGCTACTCCTCCCTCTCTTCCTCCCGTAAACGTAGATATGCTGTCCGAAGACTGTGACTTTGAGATAATAAACATGCGTGAGGATGAAGGCAAAGCTGCCAATGACAGTAGAGAAGAAAGATCAAAAGACACAAGAACAGAGAGTCTGGGTCCCTGATGGCATCACCAGGTATTTAAACTAAAGCCCAGCAACTGCCAGAATCAGGCTTTTCACATGAGAAAAACAATCTCCTATTTGTTTAAGTTATTATTTGTCAGTTTTCGTTTACTTGCTGCCAAAATCATTCCCATCTGATACAGGTATATTCTTGGAAACAGCATCCAGATGAATTTGTACAGTCAACTGATACAGTCTTGGCCTTCTGTTAGGAGAATTTGATTCATTAAACTTGGCTTCATGCCTACTCTTTATGTGAGGTTTACTACTTATTATGTTATTTTTCCCTTTTCTTAATTTTGAAGTCTGGTTCACAATTCTGCTTATTTCCCCTTTCATTCTCTGTAAATTCTTGAGGATCTATTTTCTTTCATTTTAAAAAAAATTAATGTCTATCTTCTCTGTTCTTACGTTCCTTTTTCTTTTTTGGGGGGGGTAATTTATTTTATTTATTTATTTTTAGAGGAGGTCCTGGGGATTGAACCCAGGACCTTATGCATGCTGAGCACGTGCTCTACCACGTGGGGCCCCCTTGAGAACCTATTTTCTTTTCTTTCTTTTTTTTTCTTTTGTGTGTGTCATTTCTTTTATTCCTTAACACTTACATGTGTATTTTCTATGAACAAGGATAACTCCTGTGCAATGTTAATTCCATACCCCAGTACAATGATCAAATTTAGAAAATTTAACATTGATATGTTTCTCTTACCTACTTTCCATATTCCACGTTCATCCACTTGTTCCCATGATGTTCCCCCAAAGCAGTTTCCTCCCATATGAAAACCAGTCCAGTTTCACATTTTATATTTAGTTGTCTTGTCTGTTTAGTTTCCTCAATCCAGAATAGTTCCTCGGCCTTTCTTTTGGGTTTGCTTGTTTGTTTGTTATGACACCCACAACATATCTGAAGAATTCAGGTCAGTTAATTTATAGAATGTCTCTCAGTTTGGGTTTTTCAAGTTTCCTGATGATTGGATGTGAACCTATTTTCGAATTGTGCTACTGTCACAGTTCTATCCATAATAATTATATTTATTCCTACATTTTCTATACTTATATCATAACTGAATATCGATCTCACCAAGATTTTTTTTTTGCCCCCTCTGAATCATTACATGTCGGAAACCATTACTTCTTCGTTTAATAGATAAATGACACATTGGTCACATAGAGAACTTTAAATTTGTAACTTTTC